TCTGATAATTCCAAACTAGCTTTCACTTGGCAAAAGAGATGATGGGCATGTTTGATGGATGTTGCAGGTCAGAAGGAGGTTGTTGGTTACAATAAGGCTACAGGTCAAGAGATGACAGGGTGAATCTTTCAATCAGTCAGTTTATGATTGTTGGATACAGTACAGAGGTGTATGTGTGTGGGGGGGAGGGGGGGAAGGGGGTTCATTGATCCTGTAGGCGTATAATTTTAAGAATCTATAATAATAATAATCCTTGCATTTGAGATAGCACCTTAACACGTCGTTGAGACGTCTCAAAGCGCTTCGCAGAATATATTGTAAAGTAGATTGACTGTGTATTTTGTCAGCTGAACACACGCATGTATATTCTATCTATGATATTTGCTATGATTGCCTACAAATACTGGATATATCATAACAGTAATATCCTGTGAAACACATGATGATGTGATAAAGTGCATAATATCAAATGCAAGAATTATTATTTTTCCTTTTTTTTCTTTAATATGCCATCTTTAGCCTCTGCAGTTATTGAATGATAAGAATGATGTTTTGAAGGAATCTTCTTGAGAAGTTGAATGGTTATGCACAATGGACTGATGATCTACTCCTGCTTCAAAATTGTTACTGTTTGTGTTATTACTGTTTTGAGTGAGGTGGGTCCTTGGTACTCCAGGGCAAGACTTGGAGTGGGAGGTGGGAGAGGAAGTCACTTGGGGCAGGGATTCTTCCCACTCAGTTCCTGTTAACCATGGAAGCCCTAACAGGTAAGGTGGTCCTAGCTGGACAAGCAGCAGGAAGCTTGCTAGATGGTGCTCCCAATGGAAAACAATGTGGTTTTAGGACTCCGTCAGTATCCCCAATGCACTCTGAGGTCCCCAAGTCTTGCCAACCTGCACCTTATACTTTCCGGAATTAGGTAAGCAGGGTGTGTTCTTACGGGGAAAAGTGTGCGTGTTCCATTCTAGACACAGGTGAATTTCCATGGAAACACAGAATTCTCAGTTTGGTTACTCTTTATTGCGGTGATGGGTTTCCGTATGTGTCAGACACCCAGCTGACCAAACAAAATTGCTCTTTTCAAGCATAGCCCTGTGTCCTGAGGGTGTGTGACAGCAGGTCAGACAACAGCTGGTGACTGTTCTGTGTGCATTATTGTAATTCCCATTTGCTTGGTTAAAAATACCTCTGTCTACACCAGTAACACAGTGATATAAAAGAGAGCTGACAGAAGGCATTTTTAAACGAGGCATGTTGCTGTTTTAGACCACTGCATGCTTCTGTGCTGAATGATATTTAATATCGCAGAGTTATCTTGACAGAAACTCTAAATGCAGTCCTAGGGGGAACAGTGCATTGTCGGAGGTGACGTCCTTCGGATCAGAGGTTAAATCGAGATCCCATCTGCCTGTTCAGATGGCCGGCAAAAATCCCATGGCACTGTATATTTTTTGGTCATCTGGGAGTCATGGAACCATGGAAATGTTGTACTCAAAGTATGCTGGCCGACATTCCCCCAGATACAATTGGTCACTCACTCCATGGGTGATGGTGGGACATTCACGCACAAAATACACAGTCCTTCATTTTACAGCTTTGAGACATCCTCCCGACATGAAAGTTACTATATCAATTGCAAGGACTATTAGTAATATTATTATAAAAGTACAGTAAGTGCTTGTAATATACACAATATGGTGTAGAATCATAACCTCTTGTTGATTTAGGGGGAAATTGTGTTTCTAGAGCTTCATCTCTTATGAAATAAATGTTGGGCTCAATTATAAAAAAAATTTTGGTCAACCGGGTGTCTTGACATATGCAGAAACCCATCATCATGCTTAAGAGTATTCAAACCAAGCTGAGAATGCCATGCATCCCACCTAAACATGGAAATTCCAGAGATAGATCGTTGGAATGGAAATGCGCACTCTCTCCCTGGATGGACGTATCCTGCTTACCTAATTCCGCAATTCTGGAGAGTATTAGGCACAGGTTAGCAAGAGTCAGAGTGTGCGTTGGGGGTTCCACTGGAGCCTAACCAGCTAAAAATGCATAGATTGCTCAATTATACAACCCAGCTTTATTTATCACAACACAAGTGGTTACACAAGATCAAAAGATCAGTTGGGATGAAAAAGGCTTTTTGACCTATCTGATCTTATCCTTCCAGAACATCCACTCAACCGCCCTCCCATCACAGCATCAAGCCGTTTTTTNCCCTGGCCACAAACCACCCTTCCTTTCTGGGTAAAGCAATTTAACTAAACTGCAATTACCCAACACTGAAATGTTTGTTAAAACTGTACTGTGGATCTTATGACTATTAGAACACTGTGAAAGTAGATAAATTCCTGTGCTCGTCACTGATCTCCCCAGTGCCACCATCCACCAAATTCCATACACACATCATCCCAGTCCTCGGTAGACTCCATTGGCTCCCTGTCTCCGAACGGATAGACTTCAAGATCCTCACCATCACATTCAAATTCCTTCATGCCCCTAACTCTGACCTGCTCTTGGCACAGACTCGATGTGCCGAATGGCCTCCTTCTGTGCCGTAACATTCTATGATTCTATGAATGGAATGCACAATCTCTCTCCCTGGAGGGACGCATCCAGTTTACCAAATTCAGGAAGTATGTTGATTTAGGGGGAAACTGTATGTTTAGTTCTTCTTCAACAACAACTTGCACTTTTATAGTGCCCTCCACGGAGGCTAACATCTCAGAGTGCTTAACAGTGCTGGAGCCATACCAGCCGGGGGTGGGGGGGGGTGGGGAGAGGTGGGGGAAGTAGCCGTAAGCACAGTCGAAGGGGAAGGTTTTCAGGAGGGACTTGAAAAAGAGGAGGGATCGAGGGGGAGTATTCCAGAGTTTCGGGGCGTAGTGACTGAAAGTGCGACATCCGACGGTGGGGCAGAGGGTGTGAGGGACGAGTAGGAGGCCAGTGCCAGTCGAGCGGAGGCACCGGGTGGTGGATTGGGGAGTGAGGAGGTCGGAGAGGTAGGGAGGTGCCAGAGAGCGAAGGGATTTGAACACGAGGATGAGGATCTTGAAGTCAATCCATTCGGTGATTGGCTTCCACAAGGGAATGCAATGCAAAGTTGTTGAGTTTGTGATGGATATGAAGTCTGGAGCTTCAATGCTAACCATTTGCTAACCATTTTTTCATACTCTTGGAACAGTATACTAAAACAACAATAATAATAATAATAATAATAATCCTTGCATTTGATATAGCGCTTTTCACGTCAGGAGGACGTCCCAAAGTGCTTCACAGAATATACTGTAAAGTGAATTGACTGTATATTTGTAGGCGAACACGGCAGCCAATTGCGCACAGCAATGTCCCACAAATAGTCGTAGATTGAAAATGACCAATTTTATTATTGTTTTGGGTTTTTGGTGGGTTTATTATTAGGCGTGTGGAGTAAGGAAACTTGCCTAAGGTTTCGCCCTGTGCCTGGAATTCAACCCAGGTGTCTCGCTTGCAAAGCGAGTGCTCTAACCACCGAGCTACAGGACTCCACGATGGAGTCCACAATTGGACTCCACAATACCAATAAAGCTTCAGAAAAGGTTAGTCGCTCATTTTGCTCGTCATCTTGCTCTTTCTCAGGTGAGTTCACCATCTGCCCTGATGTTACAGAAATGAAATTTTGAAAATCCTTGTATTTGATAATGTGCCTTATCACGTCAGCGAGATGGATCAAAGCTCTTCACAGGATACAACGGTTGTAACATCTCATAATGTGAACACCTGGGTGAGTGAATTTGTTTAAGGCGTAGAAGCTACAACCTGCGCACTCTTAGGTAGCAAATGGTGTAACCTGGTGTCAAGGAATATCCAAGACAATGAAACCACTTGCTAAACTCACTGACAGAAACCATTACCCCCCGGAAACCGATCCGCCGATCGACTAACAACCGGGTTCCTATTTATTGCTAGGGCAAACAGAGGTGTGTGGAGTACGGAAACTTGCCTAATGTTTCACTCCGCCTTGGAAGTGAACCTGGGTTCTCTTTTGCGCAAGGTGAGCGCTCTAAACACTACGCTACGGGATTCCTTAAAGTATATCCCACAGGATATCCCACAGAATATACTGTACATTGGATTGACTGTGTATTTTGTGGGTGAAACTCAGCAGCTAATTGCACACAGCAAACCAGCTCCCAATGTCAGGGCAGCAGATATAATGCAAATTGTACATTTTTAGTTATGCATATACATTGTATATATAATATATTGATTAAAGCAGAGAGAAGTGTAATCACATATGTAACAATCCAGCAAAGGTAATTTTTGGCCAGATGACATTTTTCCCCACCACCTTTTGAACGGTCGGTTAACAGATTGGGAACATACATTATTTGATATATTTATAAGTAGGAACCCAGCTGTTCGTCGATTGGCGGATCGCTTTTCCGGGGGTAATAATTCCCTCAAATAAAAAAGAATAAATTGGTCTCTCAATCTACGACCGTTTGTGGGACGCTGCTGTGCGCAATTGGCTGCCGCATTTCGCCCACAAAATACACAGTCAACTCACTTTACTGTGAAGCGCTTTGAGACGTCTCAAACGACACGATAAGGCGCTATATTCAAATGCAAGGATTGTTAGTATTATACCTATCAACTCGAAGGACATCTCCTGCAATAGCCGCAAACTCTTTACAAACGTTGCGTGTGTGTGTGTGTGTGTGTGTGTGTGTTTTTTAAAAAAATAACAACCTAATCATTTAACAGTGGGAAAAAAAACTATACGAGAAAGCACTTCTGAGACCTCTATCCATTCCATTATTGCATTATATTCTGCACCTCTGTCCGGGCAAACGATTGACCGGTTGCAACGACCCTCCAAAAAAGAAAGCAGGGAAATGGACAATAATTCTCATTTTTTTAAAAAAAACTTCGGTGCAGTTCAGGATATCCTTCCAGATGAATAGATTGAGGGTGTGTGTGTGGGGGTGAGTGAGTGAGTGAGAGAGAGAGAGAGAGAGAGAGCAAAGAGAGAGAAAGCAACTTGCAAATAGTCAGGAGGAAGCGTTTTAATGAGCAAAGCGCAGAGCTCCTGTAGGCGATCAGTGAGTGAGTGAGTGAGTGAGTGAGTGTGAAGATGGCGAGAGAGCAGTGGGTTGTGTTGCTGTGCGCTGCGCTGTTGCGCTTCCTGCAGTCGGGGTCGGGTCAGTCCCCGGAGGGCAGTGGGAACGGCTTCAGCCTCCACCCCCCCTACCTGAACCTGGCCGAAGGGGCCAGGATCGAAGCCACTGCCACTTGCGGGGAGGACGATGCGGGCAGCCCGAGGCTGGACCTGTACTGTAAGCTGGTGGGGGGACCCGAAGCCGGAGATCTCAGCCAAACCATCCAGGTACCGTACCCGTGTCTGCAGCCGCGACCTCTGGCTTTGCACCCCCTCTCTCTCTCTCACCCTCTCTCTCCCCTCTCTCTCTCTCACCCCCCTCTCTCTCTCACCCCCCCTCTCTCCTCTCCCCTCTCTCCCCCCCTCCCCCCCTCTCTCTCTCTCTCTCTCCCCTCTCTCTCTCTCTCTCACCCCCTCTCTCTCTCCCCCCCCTCTCTCTCTCTCCCCCTCTCTCTCTCACCCTCTCTCACCCCCCCCCCCTCTCTCTCTCTCCCCCCCTCTCTCTCTCTCACCCCTCTCTCTCTCCTCACCCCCCCCCCCCCCCCCCCCCCCTCTCTCTCTCTCTCACCCACTCTCTCTCTCTCTCTCTCCCCCCTCTCTCTCTCTCCTCCCCCCCTCTCTCTCTCTCTCACCCCCCTCTCTCTCTCTCCCCCCTCTCTCTCTCTCTCTCACCGCCCTCTCTCCTCTCTCCTCCCCCCTCTCTCTCTCTCACCCCCCCTCTCTCTCCTCACCCCCCTCTCTCTCTCTCCACCCCCTCTCTCTCTCTCCTCACCCCCTCTCTCTCCTCACCCCCTCTCTCTCTCTCTCTCCCCCCTCTCTCCTCCTCTCTCTCCCCCCCCTCTCTCTCTCTCCTCCCCCCCTCTCTCTCTCACCCCTCTCTCTCTCCCCCCTCTCGCTCTTCTCTCCCCCCTCTCTCTCTCTCTCTCTCTCCCCCCCCCTCTCTCTCCTCTCTCCCCCCCTCTCTCTCTCCCCCCCCTCTCTCTCTCTCCCCCCCTCTCTCTCTCTCTCTCTCACCCCCCCCCCTCTCTCTCTCTCTCTCTCTCTCCCCCCCCTCTCTCTCTCTCACCCCCCTCTCTCTCTCTCTCACCCCCCTCTCTCTCTCTCCCCCTCTCTCTCTCCCCTTCTCTCTCTCTCTCAATTGCAACCCCTTATTTGCTCTCACCCCTTTCCCCAAATCCATGCAGAGCAAATACTCCCACCCAAGACGGGTCTCTGACTTTCTTTTAACTTGCGATTTATTTTTAGACTCGCCACACACACACACAAAAAGAGAACCCCCCCCCAAAAAAAAAAAAGAATTTTTTTTTTGGGGTGGGGGGAAAGCAATGCCATACTTGGACTCTCCAGTTCACGGTACTTCCTGGTTAGATAGGGCTCTGGCTGTGATTCATTTCACCCACAGGTTGTTAGACTCTCATCTGATCTGATCTGATGGCACCTGAACTCAGTTACTTATTAATTACTTAATAATAAATAATCGTTGCATTTGGTATAGCACTTTTCACGTCGGGAGGACGTCCCAAAGCGCTTCACAGAACACACTGTAAAGTGAATTGATTGTATATTTGGAGGCGAACGCGGCAGCCAATTGCGCACAGCAATGTCCCACAAACAGTCGTGGATTGAAAATGACCAATTTATTTTTTTTTTTGGTTTTGGAGGGATTATTATTAGGCTCTGTGTGGAGTAAGGAAACTTGCCCAAGGTTTCGCCCTCTGCCTGGAATTGAACTCAGGTCTCTCACTTGCAAAGCGAGTGCTCTGACCACTGAGCTACAGGACTCCACTTACTTACCCTTTGAAACCCACCAGCCACCACTCTAGGAATCTGTAGTTTATTGACGGGAGAGATTGCAGTTCAGAGATTGCAATCAGTCAACCCACCACTAAATACAACTACAGCAAATATAATAATAATAATCCTTGCATTTGATATTGTGTCTTATCATGCTGTCGAGACTTCTCAAAGTGCTTCGCAGGATATGCTGTAAAGTGGAGTGACTGTATTTTGTGGGCGAAACGTGGCAGCCCATTTTCTCACAGCAATGTCTCACAAACAAGCCATGGAGTGAGTGACCAAATTTATTTGGGACATTGTTGGCCAGGACACTGGGACAAGCTCCCTTCTCTTTTGCAATATTGTCATGGGATCTTTACAGTCCATGTGAACAGGCAGATGGGACCTCGGTTTAATGTGTCATCTGAAGAACGGCACCTCAGATAATGCAACATCCCTCCTCAGCACTACATTGGAGCATCTGTAGCTCAGTGGTTAGAGCACTCGCCTTGCATGCAAGCAAGACACCTGGGTTCAATTCCAGGCAGGACGAAACCTTGGGCATGTTTCCTTACCCCACACGCCTAATAATAATCCCTCCAAAACAAAAAACAATAATAAATCGATCATTTTCAATCCACGACTATTTGTGGGACACTGCTGTGCGCAATTGGCTGCTACGTTTCGCCCACAAATATACAGTCAATTCACTTTACAGCATATTCTGTGAAGCGCTTTGAGACGTCTAGAAGATGTGAAAAGCGCTGTATCAAATGCAAGGATTATTTATATTATTATCAGTTTAGGCTATGTGATTCCACGTTCAGATGTGGGGCTTGAACCCACAACCTTCTGACTCAGAGACGAGAGTGCTACCACTGAGCCAGGCTGATACATAACAAATATAACCAATGACAAATATAACTACAGTAAATGCAGCTAAATCCAACTGCACTAAATAAAACCACAGACCCACTTATTCCCTCCTCTTCCAGGGTGCTGTTTTACTGGGGTGCTAATAATTCCATGGTTGACTGCTCCCACTGGTACCACAGTGCCTTTTCTTCATGTGGGTTATTGGATCTTGCTGGGCAACAAACCCGTGCCCAAAGCAATCCTTGCCCAACACTCATTCGAGTGCAAGGTTAGCACCCTGGCCTCGCAAGTGAGAGGATCCGGGTTTCCCAGTCGGAGCAAAACCTTAGGCAGGTTTCCTTAGTTCAAATCTCTCTGTTTTCTTAGGAACCTGGCTAAGTAAGAACCTGGTTGTTAGTTGATTGGCAGATCGCTTTACGAGGGTAATGGTTTGTGTGTCAGCCTTGAATGTGTCGGATGTTCCGTCCATCGGTTGAGACGTTAAACCCAGGTCCCATCTGCCTAATCAGGTGAATTTTAAAGATCCAAAAAGAGAAGGGAATTTCTATCGGTGTCACAGCCAACAATTCCCCAAAATAAAATTGATCACTCACTTCACGGCTGTGTGTGGGACAACTGGCTGCCGTGATTTGTCCACAAAATACATAGTAAATCCACTTTATAGTATATCCTGTCAAGCGCTTTGAGACATCTGAATGATGTGATACTGTACAATATCAAATGCAAGTATTATTATTATATGTTGTGGCCCTGGTAATGATCAGGAGACAACTGTTCCCAACCCAGAGACGTGAAGGCAAATTGTAGCATCAATTTATTTTACCCCAGCTGAGATCATGTCACTTGAATGCAGCTAGGCTCAAACCTGGAGCATTCCTGTCTGTATTGCTCAGTTTAACTTTAGATAGTTCCCTTACCAACTGACTCATTGATGGAGGTCTTGATTTGTGTGTGGGGTGGGGGGGCGGGCAGAAGAACGTTACTGAATCATTCTGCCTTTGGCATGGAATAAAATCAAAGAAAGGCTCCTCTGTTTTACTTGGCTTCACAGGCACATCTCAAGGCACAAAAGCAAAACTTTCTATGCCAGTTGTAAAGACCATCAACGTTCGGGACAGCAACATGGCCAATTTAAAATCATGGCAACATGTTGGCTTCCCGGAAGTTCAATTTGGAATCAAAATGACAAATAATTACCTTCAGTTAAGGGTAACATTGCAAAATGTTATGAAAACACAGAAGTTCTGCAACCCACATGCTAACTGTGCATGTTACATACTACCAACATCAAGATAAAATTCAGAAATGTGTTAGCAATTACAACAAACAAAAAAGTGATATAACATTTTCTAGCTAGGAACTGCCAACTCCTCTTCCAAAAGGATTCCACGTTATAAATCACAGCTCTATCTCTTCCTGTTTTCAAATCACAGAAGCAGTAAGTTCATCCAACAGGCTGAAATGCCTGTTGACACCTGTCTACAACAGCAACAACAAAATTACATTTATAGAGCGCCTTTCACATCGGGAGGAAGTCCCAGGCCAAACTAACTTGATTAAAGTTCCCTTAGAGTACTGTTACCGCTTCCAACTCAAACTCTGAAATTAACTTGTTGGCCAGTGTCAAAGCCCCTGGTCACAGTTTGTGTATTTTGTTTTGGTCAGCCTGACACATGCGGAAACTCTTCGCTATGCTTAAAAGTATCCAAACCAAATAAAATTTCCTGTTAAAAAANCTATACGGGATACTAGACTTTATAAATAGGGGCACAGAATACAAAAGTCAGGAAGTTATGATGAACCTTCATAAAACACTGGTTAGGCCTCAGCTAGAGACTGTGTTCAGTTCTGGGCCATACAGTTTGTGGGGGTGGGAAGAAAAGAGAAGGTTGACTTGTTACTTATAGAGTTGGTTACCTCTAGTTGGCAGTGGTGCAACAATAATAATAATAATCCTTGCATTGGATACAGTGCTTTATCACGTTATTGAGATGTCTCAAAGCGCTTCACAGCGTATACTGTGAAATGGTGTGACTGGGTATTTTGGAGGTGAATGTGACAGCCAATTTGCGCACAGCCACATCCCCAAACAGTCAGACAATGAATGACCAACTTTATGTGGGGGATTGTTGGCCAGGACACTGGGAGAAATTACCTTTTTTCGAACGTTGCCAGGGGAATTTTAACGTCCAGCTGAACAGACAGTCTTTGGCTGTCTTCATTCCAAATCATTGTAGTGAGTTTGGGGGTGGGTGGAGATATCAAACCTTTAATCAGTAGGATAATTATCTACTCTGTTTATCTAGCAGTAAGTAGGAATCCAATTGTTAGTCGATTGGCGGATCACATCCTGGAAATAATAATCTCTTCCCCCCCCAAAAAAAACATGTGATCACTCAATCCACGATTGTTTATAGGACACAGCTGTGAGCAATTGGCTGCCATGTTTCACCCACAAAATATAGAGTCAGTCCACTTTACAATATATTCTGTGAAGCGCTTTGTGACGTCTCAAGGACGTGATAAGGCGCTATATCAAATGTAAGGATTATTACTAATAGTAGTAGTAGTAACTATTACCAGTAATAATTATCACATTTTTGCACTCCTGTCTTTCAGTGTTGCGTTCTGAACCTCTTCCCTTGTCTTTTTGATATTTAGGGACAGTACTGCGATCATTGTACTGCTGAGCACAGGAACAAAGCTCACCCGATTACTAATGCCATTGATGGAACAGAGCGCTGGTGGCAAAGCCCACCTCTGTCACGTGGACTATATTACAACCAGATTAACATCACTCTGAACCTGGGGCAGGTGAGTAGCTGATGCGGGTGGTCTATGTACTCTATCTTGAATTAGATGTTGGTACATGTTCCGCTTTATGGTCATGTAGAAAGGGTACGAGAGAAATATATTTCATCATAAATTTATCCCAACAGTTGCAAGAGCACCTGGGTTTGCAAAGGTGGATAATTTGGTTCACTGATGTCCGTCCAGCTAAGTGCACCATCAGATGAATGAAACAATTGTGCATGTGCTCATTGTGTCACCCAGATAGCTTGGTTAAGTGGCCAATTTGGACAAAGTTTTTGGATAAATGCCTTGTGCCTGTGACTATGAAGCAGGATTGTGAGGTACAGTAATTAAGAGGCGACTTCAAACCCTCTCTCTGTTTATTCTATTCAGAACTGGTAGCCTTGTCTTTTTTAACATTTCACCATAACTCCCAAAACAGCAGTAACGTCTAGTCTCCCACTCTTTGTTTTCTTACTGTTTATTTGTAGAACAGACTGTAACATCATTTATCTGCTCTATTTGGATTATTGAAGGAACCAGAATATTTCATCCAGTAACGTTCTGCTAGACTTAACATTGCATTGTTATAAATAATAATATTCCATGTGTTTAGTTCCTACTGACGTTGAATGTGAAAAGTAACATCCTGAAAAGCTCAAGTCAGTTGAATACTGAGCCAAGAGCCAAAATGTTTGTGTTGATGTTCTGTGGGGTGTCAATAAAACAACTTAACACTGCTAAAGGAAATGTCTTCCTAGGTGGGAAGTTCAATCCTTAGGGGTTGCTAAACAAAAGAAGACCAAAGTCCATCCAATTTGCCTTCTATCATCCTGGCAGTTTCTTGCACGTCATGTCCCAAACTATACACTATAACCCCCGATATTATTTCCTAAAAGAAATCTATCTGATTTTCTTTTGAAAGAATCAACACTTTTTGCTTCCACCATCTCTCTATGTGGAAGCAGAAGTGTTCCATACATTTACTATTTAATCACTGAAATATTGTTTCTGCAGATTTTTTAAATTTATCCCCCTCACCCACCCCCCCTTCAATCGCAGGCCAACATGCTCTAAGGAACTTGCCCCCTTAAAGGTGATCCTATTGGAAGCATGACAAAAAAGGTTCAGGAGCATTGGTATGAGGCATGTGTCCATTGGAGTATGTTATATATCTATTAAACAAAACGTTATTTCAAACTACAGATATTTGCCAACACAATAATTATTTTAGAAATATTCTCTGGCATTGAATTAATAAACGCAAATCAACTTTTCCTATGTTTCTAATCAGCTGCTATTCCTTAAAACCTATGTCATTCAGTATTGAGCTTGGAGAGGTAAGGAAATCGTCTAGAGCAGCTCAAGACTTGACTGGGCATGAAGAAGATTTGAACTTTGTGATAAAAGAATCAGAGATAGGGAACCAGAATTCATGTTTTCGCAAGATCACATCAGATGAAAAAGTCCCTTCGGCTCATTTGATTTCAACCTTCCAGAATACCCATCCTCCCATCACAGCATCAAGCTGCTGTTCAAATGAATCCCAGTGTTCTAACCTCAAACACCCTTCCTAGCAACCTGTTCCCAATCATTAATTATTCTCTGGATAACAGAAAATGTTTTTGGTCTTTGTCCTGAAATTGCCCTTTGCAACTCTAAACCTGTGTCCTCTTGTTCTCCCGTCTTGGTGCATCCTAAAGTATTGTTCTGGGTTCATTTTTTCAATCCAATTTAAAATTTTAAGCATGTCTATAAGACCCTATCTGAGAAGTGTTCTCTGAAGACTGAAGCTTGCCTAACCATTGCTCAAAATGTTGCTTTATTTCTTCATTGAGAAACAATAGGGGAGAGATCTGAGCCAGTGAGAGGCGCAGAGTCACCTCAGTCTGGCTACTGGACAGTCATGCTTTCTGAGTTCCTTTGTGCCTGCTCATTTGGCTGTTTCACCCTAAAATGCACCCTTCTCCTCCACACCTTTTGGCAGTTGTTAACTCTCAATCATGTTTGCCTTTAGCCTGGGTGTGTCCATTATGGCCCACTTGCTCATTTACTCTTTATTGCTGCACTTTCAACCAGTAATTATCCAGTTGAGGGGAAAGAAAAAGGCTGAACCAATTGACAATGTGGTCAGGAGGCAATCTTTATCCTAGTCCTTAGTATAAAATGGTTCAAAAGTGTTTTTTATTCATTCATTTGTGTAATTTACTCTGGTGCCTCTCATGAATAGATTAGGGTGTGTTGCAACTGAATAGGTTCCACAATTACACAATAACCAAGTATACAGAGGTCAGTGATTGTGCAACACAATGGGAGGAGATTGAGAATTGCAGCCCATTCTGTTTATCTAGCAGTAAGTAGGAACCCAGTTGTTAGTTGATTGGTGGATTGCTTTTCTGAGGGTAATAACCTCTTAAATTTTTTTGGGTGTTTGTGGAACACTGCTGTGCGCAATTGGCTGGTGCGTTTCGCCCAAAATATATACAGTCAATTCACTTTAGAGTATGTTCGGTGAAGCGCTTTGAGATTCGCAATGATGTGATAAGGCACTGTATTAAATGGAATGATTATTATTATTAATTAATGTCTCATCCAAAGGATGGCACCTTCACCAATAAAGTGGACTTGCACTGTTTCGTAAAGTCATTATTATGAAGATTATATGAGTTCAAAGTCCTGACGTGGGGCTTGGACACATAGCTTTCTGACTTAGAGGCCACTGACTAAGCCAGCTGACACCTGTGTAGGATGTATTTAGAATATACAGCTGTCATTGCTCCCCTGGAGCAGCCGATGAATTCAATTATCTGCAAGAATTCAAATTCTTGATCAGTGAAAAGGAAAGCTTCACCAATAGTGAATATAAGAAAACAATGGGGGAAGTCAGGTAAATGGGACTAACAGGATAGCTCTTTAAAAAGAGCAATGCCTTCTTTTGTGCTGTGATTGTCTGTGGTTTTATCTCCACCTGGGTATGTTTTATGAAATAACATATTTCAATAATTTATTGCATTTGACAATAAACAATAGCAGAGCAAGCCAAGCAAATGCACAAAGGTGCACTGTTGGTTTTAATTCATGACTGAAAAGGAAATGCAACTCACAGAAACCTGTGGTGATCATGAATTTTTATGGCATTTTTAAAAAATGTATTTCTTGTCAGTTTTCTTCACACGTTCTGGTCTCCACTCTTCAATACAGTGCTGGGGAAGCACTTCATTGTTAAAAGTGTTGTCCTTCGACGTTAAATCTAGGTCCTGCATGTTCAGGTGGATTTTAAAGGTCGCTATCTGAAAAAAGAAGGGAGTTTTTCCCAGTATCCAGGGTTGACTGAGAGTAATAACCTTCCTGATAAATGTTGGTCTATCACGTCACAGCTGATTGTGGGATATTGCTGTGTGCAAATTGGTTGCCCCAATTGCCTTGAAATACATGGTCACTATACATTACAGTAAAATCCTGTGAAGTGCTTTTGGATGGTTCAATGTCAAACACAAGTTTTATCCTTATGTGAATCTTTGACGATAGTGAGCGTCAGCAGGCTATTTGATGAAAGAGGGTGGACATTGCAGTTTGACCCCAATCACGCTGTCACACAAAGTTCATGTACATCCACATTCCAGCGGTTTTGTAGGCTAGGGATCAGGAGCTGGCAAACATTTGCATTTTCTCCTCCCTGTTACAGTGCGCTGAGGTTATTTTGCGCTGTAGTGCCCCCGCTGTTGCTTAGACTGAGACCTTGGCATTGAATTTGAGACGTATCTTGTCCATTTAGTTCAGAGACTGACTGGATAAGTCTTGGTGAGGTCCTGTAACGGATTGGTTAGAGCACTCGCCTCACAAGCGAGAGGACCTGGGCTTGATTCCCGGACAGGGCAAAACATGAGGCAAGTTTTCTTCCTCCACATGCCTCTGTTTACTTAACAGTAAATAGGAAGCCAGTTGTTAGTCGATTGGCAGATTGCTTTTCTGGGAGTAACAATTCCTTCAAAAATAATAATAATAATTTGGTCTCTTCAATCCATGACTGTTTGCGATACACTTCTGTGTGCAATTGGTTGCCGCATTTCTCCCACAAAATATACAGTCAATTCACTTTACAGTATATTTTGTGAAGCACTTTGGGATAGCTCAAAGACGTGATAAGGCTCAAATGCAAGGATTATTATTATCATACGTTGATTGAGTGATGTGGTGATGGAAAGCTTTGAATGATTTCTTTACAATGCTCAAAGAATGTAACTCAATGCCATCTTCACAGGAGCAATAACCTTTAATTTTATTCGGGAATCAATAATTGGTTAACTAAACCTCAAGGTTGTCTATGGGAGAGCTCCCTCTTCCTCTAGCTTGGCATCCAATCTCCACCACTTCGCAGGGCTGAGACACCTATCCTTATTAAGGGCACTGTAAATTTCTTTTCTCACAAGAAAGGGCAAGTTTCCTTACTCCATACGGCTGATAATAATCCCTCAAGAAAAAACCCCAATAATAAATGGGTTCCTTCAATCCACAATTGTTTGTGGGACACTGCTGTGCACAATTGGCTGCTGCGTTTCTCTCACAAATATGCAATCAATTCACTTTACAGTATATTCTGTGAAGCGCTTTGAGACATCTAGAAGATGTGAAAAGCGCTATATCAAATGCAAGGATTATTATTATTAAATGCAAGCTGTTGTGTTTGTTGTCTGGCCAGTAAAGAAGCTGTATTCAGAGAAATGTACAACAATAATAATCCTTGCATTTGATGTAGCGCTTTATCAAGTCTTCGAGACATCTCAAAGCGCTTCACAGATATACCGTGAATTGAATTGGCTGTATATTTTGTGGGCGAGACGCCCATTATCAGGCTCCTTGTCAATGGAAGCTAAAGCAAAATAGATAGAAAGCTTTATCCATGATAAACATCATGCATGTTTTTTCCCGCTGAGCACTCCATTAATGACTTTACTTAGTGACTAGTTTAATTGGGCTTTTTTGAGACCAGGAGGCATTTGCAAAGCTGATGAAGTCTTTGG